CTTTTCTCTGTCTTCTGCTGGGAGTAAAGATGTTAAAGATTTTGTCAAGAACATTATGGAAAGGTTTGTATTGTCTTACATCTTTTGAAGTTCTTGTGTTGTTTTTAGTCCTCAATAGTCTTTATAGTGAAAAGTGTGAAGATAAAAATATTAGATAAAATAGTTTTTAAGCGTTAAGCTTGTTCTTCTTGCTTTTCAACATTTAAGTGGAGGTTTCTCAACACTGCTACTGCCTTTTCTCTATATAAAATATTGATAATAAAAATAACTTTTTATAGTATCGCTCGGTACGATGTGTTTGCCAAGTTCAATTTTCGAGGAACTAATCGCCTCGAAAATAATAAAGAGTCTAGACATAAGAAAGAAGCTAATAAATGTCTTATTATATGCAAAGCTGTGTGCTGTACGTTTTATAACTTTAGTTTTTGAAAGCCTTTCTGTCTTGCTAAATCTTTCTAACTGCATTCTAAAATGTTTTTATATAGAAAATATTACTTGATCTAAGAATAATAGCTATAAATTTGTTGTTGTTGTTTTATGGAAATAATTATTCCAACTATTATCAAATTTGATAATAGTTGGAATAATTATTTGCAAAATTATTTGCAAACATTTAATTTTTATATAAATTTTTTTACTTTAGGTGCAGCATTGAAGGATAGGAAATTTAACAAAGCAGACGTATTAAACTGCGTAAAAGATATTTTGCGATACGCTCCAGATAAGGCCACAGGTGGAAGACGGTCATTAACATAACATTTTTTCAATTGTTAAAATGTAAAAAGCAAATGAGTGGTTAACTTGTAAATCTTGTTTTATATTTCACTACTATAATTATATATTTATTTGGAAATCTTTTCATTATTTTTTTTTTGCAATATAATTTTACTCCTTTCTAAAGCTTAAAACTTAAAATATAAAATATTTAATTAAACGTTTTCTAAAATCCCTTGGTTTACGTCAACTTATCATCGGATTATAATGTTAGTCTTACTTTCCATTACAAACATCGATGCGACATCGAATTTTTACATAGCTATTACATCGCAATGCTACGTCAATACTACATCGGCTAGTAACATCGTCTTAAAATTGACATCGCCATTACATCGCATATCAACGTCGATCCAACTTTCCATTTCTTACATTAATCCGACGTCGCGTTTGACTTCGCCTTAACGTTAATCCAACATCGCCGTGCCCACTGGGTAAAATGAGGATTTAAAATTGTTCACTTTTCTTGGAAAGTTTTTCCAAAGAAGACGTGATAGTGTAAATGAAATTTTACGTTATGCTCCAGGACACAGGGTGGAAAGCAGTTTTTCTGTTTAAAACTTTAAAATAATTTTAAAATAAAATATTTTTATTGTGTAAAACTTTAAAATTGTAAGAACATTAAAAAATACTTATTAACCTAAAAATTATATTTTATATTATAATACCAGAACTATATTCTATTTATAATTCTAACTATATTCTAACTTTTTATCTTATTTGATTTCAGATTCCTGCTGGAGTATAGATTAAAACGTTAAAGCATAAGTTTGGAGTTTAAGAAGCAAGTTCAAATTTATTAGATATTTACTTTTAACTTCCAAAACTCGAAACTTAATATATAACACAATTGATTATAAATGATTCACTAACATCGCTTTATTACGTCGCCCTATTATCGTATTCTAACGTCAATTTAACTTTCCATTTCCAACATCGATGCGAAGTCGCATACAACAACATACAACATCGCAACTACACCGAATGTTTACATCAATTTTACATCGCAAATCGACATCAAAATTACATCGGCTAATAACATCACCTTAACATCAAAAACTTACGTCAATATAACATCGTCGATCCAACTTTCCAACGTTAATGCAACGTCGACGTCGCTTCAACGTTAATCTAAAGTTAAATTAAAATTTAAAGTTAAAAGAATGTAGAAATTATTAGGTGTATCTATATATATCTTAAAACTTTTAAAATTTGATTCATTGGTTATTATTTAATTATTATATGTTACCAAATACTAAATAGACCCGTACGGGTTACTATATCATTTATTTATATTTATTGTTTCCCTGCTGTGTTTCTTTAACTTTTTATATATTTTACAGTTCCTTTCCTTTAGTGCTATTAGTGAGAATCAGATTGTATTAATATCAAGAATAAAGCCAAGTTTATCTAGGTTTGGAAAAGAAATAGTAAGAACTGTTAAATTGCTTGATAAGAGAAAAAAGGTGTAACATGATGGTTTATCAGTAAATTTAATTACCATCTTACCTTAATTATAATAATTTTGATGACTTTCTTTTGTTAAAAAAAAAAAAAAAATTAGAAGGACGGTAAGGTAATAAATTGGTTATAAATCAACTTTAAATAAATTATTATACCAGTTATATTTTTTAATGAAAAAAGCAAGAACTTTTTAGAAATCTTTAATTAAAAATTGTGACAGCGAAAAAAAAAATCTAATAATAGAACTTTTCATCACTATGAAAAGTTATGGAAAGTTATACATTTTAAAAGAATTTATGTTACAAGTCTATGAAAAATTTATCTAATTTTTTTGATCGACAGCGATTTTTAATATTAACTATAAAAATTAGTAATAATTACAGATTTAAATATAGTTTTTATATAAATTTTCGTTTAAACCGTCCTTACATTAAACAGCATCAGTCCCCAGAACTAATAGTTGCTTTATAGATCAAAAACAAAGTAACATCCACAAAATGTAGAATTTATTTATATGTAATTTATTGTATTGTAGAATTTATTATATACGTGAGAGGTTTAAATATACGATGTGTGATAAATATACTTTTTTACATTATAACAACAAACATCGAAGAAAAATAGTAAACATAAACACACAAACAAAGATTATGTACATATTATTGATATTAACAAATCAAAGAAATGTAATTTGTCACAATTAGTGACACATTCAGGTATGATATCTGAAAGAATTTTACTAAGCAAAAGGAAATGAAGCTACATTATTTGTCTGTCTACTTTACACAAATTTAATAAATTATATATCTAAATAGATGTATTAAATTTTAATTGAAACAGACTTATTAAAACTTATCATCAGCTAAAAATTATTGTTCTTTTATTTTGAAACAAAAAAGTAACCAAAAAAAGTTAGAAGTACAAACTATTCTAAAAGATAGAAGTACAAAAGGTCAACATTGGGACTGATTTCTTTTAATTTTTAAACCATTTCTGTTATTATTTATCAGGCTTGGTTGGGAAGCGGGAGCAATTACTCTCGATTATTGATCACGAAAATAAAATTCAGTTGCGGAAAATAGATAAAACTAACGCTAGTTTTATTTAAGCTAAATTATTTTTTTTTAAAAAAGGAAATTTTTTTAATAACCATTTTATGCTTCCGCAGTTTGAAAAGTTTAACATATTTAAAACAATTCTTCTTAGTTAGATGAACAAATGAAACAATTAAATCATTAAGTTACTGTAGAAACTTAATGATTTAAGCTAAATAAACTAGGTAGAAATTAACAAAAAAGGTTCAAAGTACTTTATGAAGAGTTAAAGGAACTGATACCACTGATGTTTAATGAGTGGGCTTTACATTTTAAATTAGTATTTAAAACAGATCAAAGTAACTTTACGTCTAAGTATAACAAGTTTATAAGAATGGCAACTACAACAAAAATAAATTGAGTTAGTGAACAAATATCAAAGAACCAATATCAAAATAAACCAAAATCTAAGATTCAGTTAACGGTTAAACGGAAGAAAATGGATTAGTAGTTAAATTATGGTGTTAGAATTGTGCTAGGCACAAAACAATTATGTTAAAAGATCCCTTAGTTAAAGGAGCGTTGATTTTTTCGTTTATTGAGGGAACTTATTTGGTGACAAAACATTAGGTAAAATTAAATGATTCACTTTGTTTTTAATTTTTACTATATTTTTATCTAATTTTCACTTTACTACCCA